ACGCGTCCACGACACGTCCCCGGCAGGCCCTCCTCCCGCCGCTCCTCCTCCTCGCCGCCGCTGCGCCCGACGACGCCGCCGGCGCCGCGCTGCACGCGAGGCTGCTGCTCCTCCTCTCGGCGAGCGCGCACTACGCGCAGCTGCCCCTGCTGCACCAGCCGGCAGAGTACCCGCTCTCGCGCGCGCTGCCGCTTCTCTACCACCTCGTCGCCTCGGATGCCCTGCGACGCAGGGTGGCGGCCGCCGGCGCGGAGCGGGGAGAGGAGGCGCCGCTGCTTCGGCTGCACGAATGGGCCTACCTCGCCGGCTTTGTGCCGCTCGAGCTGTTTGTCGCTGTCGTCCACCCACACCTTCTCTCGCCAAGGCGCCGGCGCCCCCCCACTCTCTCCCCGCCCCCCCTCCGTTCCCGCTGCCGCCCTCCCGAACCACTCCCACGCTTCTCCTCTTCCCGCCCTCCCAATGGCCCCGCCCCTCGCAGGCTCCCCTTCCTGCCGCTGCTCGCCACCTCCGTCTACTGCGCGGTCGGGGTCCACTACTGCACCGGCCTGGCCTACGCGTTTTGGGCGCAGCAGCGGCAGCGGCCGGACATCGTAGAGGAAGGGGGGCGGCGACGAGGCCAAGGAGCCGCGAAGCCTGATTAGCGCTCTCGCGACTCGACAGAGGTATTTTCAGGGTATTTTCCTTCAGTGGGTTTCCGGGCTGCTTCCTGGCGAGGTACTTCCAGCCTGCTGTGGGAACAGCTGACGCAGTCTCGCCGAGGCTCGCCCCAGCGGGTTGACTCGGCCAGACAAAAACCCCGAGAGGCGTGGGAGTCCCTCGCCAGGCTGCTTCCCGCTCAAAGCCAAAACGCATGCCACTTCCCACCGTGCTATCTCCCTCGCTCGCCGCCGAGTACCCGCTTCTGCAGGACGGCGAGCTCGGAGCTACGGTCGCCGCCAGCAGCCTGCACGAATCGCTTCCGCTCACGGCTCACTGGGAGCGCTCATCTGCAGAGGTTGCACATATCCTCGTGCTATGGCGCTCAGAGACGCTGATCGCGCTCGCGCGCGACGGGAGGCTGCGCGACGTGGTTGCCGCGCTCCGGGCCGCCGTCCAGCCGCTCTCCGATGGCCGCTTCACGCTCGGCGTCCTCGGCAGCGCCTCGTCGCCTCTTGAGCAGACGATCGCGCACGTCCAGCTCGACCTTGGCGTGTCCGTGCGGCAGGTGACCCCCCAGTCGCTCGAGGAGGCGCTCGAGCTCTACGCGATCGCGCTCGAGCCCGCGCGCGCCGGCGCAGCCGACGCGAGCTGCGAGTTCCTCTGCGGGCTCGAGCCGCGAGACGTCCGCTTCAACCGCGGCACCGCAAAGAGCCTCTCCGGCGCGTGGCTGGGTGCGCTGCGGCAGCTGCTGCCCGAGGCGGCGGCCAAGGAGGTGCACCGCGCCTACCCGACCTTCAGGGCCCTCTTCGAGCTCTGCCGGGACGCGCCCGCCGCCGCCGCCGCGCTGTCCGAGCTGCGGCTGGGCTCGCAGCGGTTTGGGCCTGCCAAGGCGCAGCGGCTGGTGCGGGCGATGCGGGGCGTCGCGGGCGAGTGCGAGGCGGACGTGGCGTCGCAGCCGCAGCCGTGCCGCCGGCGGCCGCCGCCGCAGCCGGTCGACGGGCGGAGGAGCGGAGGGGCGGGAGAGGAGGCTGGGAGGGGAGGGGCGCGAGAGGAGGCCAATCGGCTGTGCGAGGGCAGTTGCGGTGGTGGTGGTGGTGGTGGTGGTGGTGAGGAAGAGGAGGAGGGGCGGGACTGGGGGTGGGGGCTTGACGGGGGAGAGGAATGGGACGGGGGAGTGGCGGGGGTGCTGTGGGGCGGGGAGGAGGAGGATTGGCGGAGAGAGTGCTGCCTTTCGGCGGGGGAAGACAGCGATGCGACTCTGGCAGACGAGGAGGGGGAGGGGGGGGAGGGGGAGGAAGAGGGCGAAGGGGCGGGCGAGGGGGCGGGCGAACCGGCTCGGCTGCGGTCTCCCGTCGAGCGGAGCAGCGACGGAGACAGCGGCGGAGGCAGCGGCGGAGGCACCGACGCCGACTCGGACTCGGACGCGTCTCTGCTGGAGATGGCCTGCCGCCGGCAGGGCGTCGCATCCGGGCGGGCGGGCGCGGCGCAAGGCGCGCTGCCGCTGCTGCCTGCTACCCCGCGCGGCGATCGGGGCCTCCCGAAACTCCTTCCAGCTGCTGTTCCGGCTGCTGTTGGGCGAGAGGGCCGCCATGGGGCGGAGGCTGCGGGAGGCGGCGGAGACAGCGGCTCGTCGACAGAGGTGGACGACGACGAGGAGGAGGAAGAGCCGCGGCCGTGCTCTGACAGGGAGGCCTGGCCGGCGACGATTGACCTCACGGGAGAGAGCGACGAGGACGTCGAGGCGGAGGGCGCAGAGGCGGCGCCGTCCGGTCTCTCCCAGGCAATGGAGCTCGCCGACCTCAGCGACGAGGAGGAGGAGGACGCAGGAGGCTCTTACCACGACCCGACGGCGACGGCCATGGCCACGACGCCCGTCGTCGGACGCTGCGCCGAGAAGGTCGGCTTCAGCACGGCGAGGCGGCGAGAACAGCACCCGGCCTATCCGTCGAGGTTCTTTTAGTCACAAGGAGGCGGCGAGAACAGCACTGCCCGCGGCCGCACCGTGAACTCGCCCAGTCTCGCTCCCAATACGTGCATCACTTTTGTGACGGTGTCACAACTTCGATCAACCATATCTCGATAACTACCATGTCGACGCTCATGAAAGTAGGCGCAATCAACTGGGCGCCCGGCGCCCGACGTCCGACGTCCATTGCGCCTAAGGCTAAGCCCGGCTACTTTCATATGAGCGTCGACATGCACATGGTAGTTATCGAGATATGGTTGATCAAAGTTGTGACGTGTCACAAAAGTGATGCACGTATTGGGAGCGAGACTGCGCCGCTACGCCGCCGTGGTTTTTCCTGAAATTTAAGTGAAAAAGAAATCGCCGACTTCCCGCCCCCTCAGCATCGAGTGGTTGCTCTGAGTGAGTGGTTGCCGACCGCGAGATGGACGAGTTCGACGCGCTCGTTGCCGATGCGGAGGAGCACGAGGGCGCCGGAGCGGCCCAGCGTTCACCCAAGCGTCTCCGCTCCACCTCGCCCAGTCCCTCTCCGTCTGCGGCGGCAACCCTCGAGCAGCCGTACGTGGAGCCCGCGGCGGCGCAGGCAAACCTCGAGGTGAAGCAGGAGCAGGCAGAGCCGGAGCCAGCGCCGCCGGAGGCTGCACCGCTCGACGAGGGCGACGAGGTGGTGGTGATTTACTCCATGAGCCGGGAGGAGCGCGAGCGTGAGGCGCGTGCCAACGCTGTTGACCTGGACGCGGCGTCGCAAGAGGAGCCGGTCCCGCGCGCGGCTGGCGGCGGCGGCGGCGGCGGCGGCGGCGGCGGCGGCGGCGGAGGCAGCACCAGCGCGAGCGCGGCGACCGCAGCGCCGGCCCTCGTCGCGTCGGATGCGGACACGGCGGCGCCGACGCTTGACGAGAGACGGGTCAATCGCCTCCCAGCGCCGCCGCCCTTTGACATCGCCGTCGGCGGCCAGAACCTCTTCCTCACGGGCGGGCCCGGCACGGGCAAGTCCTTCACGCTGCGGCTCACCATCGCGGCGCTCAAGAAGAAGCACGGCGATACCGGCGTCCTCGTCACGGCGCCGACGGGAGTGGCGGCCCTCATCGCCGAGGGGCAGACCCTGCACACCAAGCCTGGGCCGGGCGTGCCAAAGGGCACGACCGAGGCGTTCGGCAACATGAAGAGCAAGTCGTCGCTCGACTTTTGGAAGAAGGCGCGCCTGCTCGTGGACGGGATCGCCCGAGATCGCCCGAGATCGCCCGAGATCGCCCGAGATGAGCCGGGATGAGCCGGGAGAGTACTCGAAGGTGCGCGTGCTCGTGGTGGACGAGATCTCGATGGTCGACGCCGAGTTCCTCGACTGGTACATGGCGAGCGTGCCCCGCGGCGTGCAGCTCATCTTCTGCGGCGACTTTGAGCAGGCGAGCGGCGGCGCCGTCCCTGCCGCGACTCCCCGCCTCCTCTCTCCTTCCTGCCTCCTCTCTCCTTCCTGTCTCCTCTCTCCTTCCTGTCTCCTCTCTCCTTCCTGCCTCCTGCCTCCTCTCTCCTTCCTGCCTCCTCTCTCCTCCCTGCCGCCCCTCTCCCCTCTCTGCCGCCACTTCTTCCTCCCTGCCGCCACCGCTGCCTTTCTCGTCACCGCCTCTTCCTCACCGCCTCCCTCACCGCCGCTCTGCTGCAGCTCCCGCCCGTGCCCGACAAGCAAGGCTCGTTGAACAACGAGGAGGTGCGTACGGCGTTTTGTGTGTGCGGTGCCGACGCCTCCATCCTCAGCGGATTCTGACTGGCGTCGCTCCTTCCGTTCGTACCGCAGTTCCTCTGCGGCTGCGTCGCAGCCGCGCGGCGCAAGGACAACGTCGGCGAGTCGCGCGTCGCCGCGGGCAAGGCGGACCCGGCGGTGGACGACCCACACCTGGTGCATGGTGGCTGGCTGGACATGTCCAAGAACACGCCCTTCGGCCTGAGAGAGACGACGGGCAAGTTCGCCTTCCAGAGCGCCGCGTGGCGCGCCGCGCGCTTCCGCGTGCACCACCTCCTCACCGTCCACCGCACGAGAGAGCCGCTGCTGCTCAGCGCGCTCACCGACCTGCGCGCCGGCGCGTCCGGGGGCCGTCGATGAGATGACCCGAGATTGCGCGAGCCCACCCCGAGGCTGCCCGAGATAGGCACGCCCGACACGGAGGCCGTCGGCAGGCTCCTCGACGCGACACGCCGGCCGCTGCAGCCGCGGGGCGGTGTCGTGGCGACGCGGCTCTTCCCAAAGCGCATGAATGTGCACCAGCAGAACGCGGCGAAGCTCGCCGAGCTGGACGTGCGTACGCGGCAGGTCTACCAGGCAAGCGACACCGTTGAGCTCTGCAAGGATGCACCGCCGTGGGTCAAGGCGGACGCAGCCGTTTGGCGAGCCCGGGGGGGGGGGGCCTGAACCGGCGTCTCTTCACGGCGCCGAGTGTGAACAGGCGGACGAGCTGCTCGGCGACAAGTTCTTCTCGGATGACTGCCAGGCGAGGCTTCCTCTCGCTGTCTGACTCCCTCCCTCCCTCCCCCTCCCCTCTACGTCCCCGTCTCTCTCTTCCTCTCCTGCTCCCTGCCTCCCTCCCTCTCCGCTCCCTCCCTCCCTCCCTCTCCCTCCTTCCCTCCCTCCCTCTCCCCTCCCCGTCTCCTCCCTCGCTCTGTCTCCCTGCCCGGAGCCTGCGCGCTGAGCTGCCCCCGGAGCCTCGCCGCAGGCGGGCAAGCTCCTCGAGCTGTCCAGGACGCGTCCATGACATGTCCGAGACATGTCCCATAGGCGGGCAAGCACCTCGAGCTGCGGCTCAACGCGCAGGTGATGCTGCTGCGCAACGAGACCGCCTCCGCAGACGAGGCGGAGCGGCGGCAGCCGGGCGCGCGCCGGCTCGTCAACGGGAGCCGCGGCGTCGTGATCGCTTTCGACTACTCGTGCCCGCTCCGCTCCGACGACCGCACCACATTCCGTCCAGGACGCGTCCATGACGTGTCCGAGACATGTCCCGTAGGTGCCCGCTCCGCTCCGACGAGCGCGTCGACGACATGCGCGACGACGTGCCCGGCGGAGTCATGTTCGACGACCCTGCGGGCTCGGCCGGCCGGTGGTGTCGACTCGGACCCGCGGTGCGGCGACGACTACCGCTCGCCGCCGCCTCCGCTGCCAACCGAGCCGCCGCCCGAGAACGCGCTCATATCGCCGCTGTGGGAGGCGCGGCGCAAGCCGGGCGGGGGCGTGTTCTGGCGGCACCGGCTGACGATGGAGGAGAGCGAGAAGCCACCGGCGATGCTGTACCCGGTGGTCCGCTTCGTCGGCAAGAACGGGCAGCCGGGCCGCATCAAGCTCATCCGCCCCGAGCTCTTCGTGCGGACCATCTACCTCAAGGCGTCGCTCGAGCGGACGCAGGCCGCCCCCCCCCTCGAGTAGACTCGCGCTGGTGCCGCAAGAAGACCTCGCCGGGAAGACCTCCTCTCGAAGGCCCGACCAGGGACGCGTCCAGGGACGAGGTCTCATCGAGTGTCTATGCGGCCGCAGGTTCCGCTCGGCCTCGCCTGGGCACTCACCGTGCACAAGTCGCAGGGCGCGACCATCGACTACCTGAGCGTCGACCTGCACGACTGCTTTGCGGAGGGGCAGGCCTACGTGGCAATCTCGCGCGCTTGCTCTGTGGACGGGCTCGAGATCTGCAACTTCTCGGCCGGCAGCGTCCGCTCGCACCCGCTCGTCAAGGCTTGCCCTCGCGCCGGTCGGCGGCGGTCCTCCCGCAGCGAGCTTCACGTCTCGAGAGGGCTGTGGGCGTAGGCCTTTTACCGCGCGGTCGACGCGCAGGAGCACGAGGCCTTCCTGCAGCAGCAGCACCTCTGGTGGGGCTCGGCCGTCCTCCGCCACGAGCACCGCCGCTGGAAAAGCCTCTACCTGCGCAACCCAACCTTCCGCAGCTGGGTGCAGCAGCTCCCGCCGGCGCGGCTGCCGCCGACGCAGCCGCCGCCGCCGCAGCCGCCGGTGGCGCAGCCGCAGCAGTCGCAGCCATCACAGATGCCGCAGCCGACCCAGCCACCGCAGCCGACGCAGCCACCGCAGCCGCTGCAGCCCGCTCCGGACGCCCCAGCGCATGTGGCCGCGCCACCACCGCCGCCATCGGCGGCGGCGGCGCGCCCGCAGTGGCAAGCGCCGCCGTCGAACTTCGTCGCGGCGTCATCGTTGCTGCCGACTCCGGCGGCGCTGCCGCCCGCCGCCCCTGCCAGGCGCTGCAAGTTCAACTGTGGTCGGTCCGTCGACCCGGGAACCTACCATGGCAGGCGGGGCCCGCGACCCTTTGACACGTGCTGTGTGGCGTGCGCCACCGGCCGGTGCGCGAACGGTTGCCCGCACGATGCCGCGTGTGAGGCGCGCGCACTGGCGGAGCGGCAGCCCGCGCCGCCGGCCGCCACTCCGCCGCAGCAGCAGCAAGCGTGACTGCATCGTGCACTGCCACTGCGGGCACTGGGCACATGTGCTCCATTTGACTTCCCCGCCCCCGGTACGTCTATACTACGTGATCGTGTGTACGTGGGGCGACTCTCTGTATTGTGGTTCGCGTGCGCTCTGCAGAGGCGCGGATGAGCATTCGTACCGTGATGCGTACCGTGACAGTGTGCCGGGTGTGCACACGATCCGATCTGCCAAAATATCTCATCGCTCTCCGGTGGGGCGGGGTGTCGCGCGGCGCGCGCGTGCTGCTCTGGCAGCTGCTCTCGCCGGCCACACCCCGGTCCAATACAATACCGCGTACCAATACAAGAATCAAGATGATTACGTATTACACACACAGTACATATCCAATCGCAACCGCAAGGCTGCTCAATATAGGCCGGGCGTCGTCGCCTTCTCCCTCGCCAGCTCGGCCCGCAGCCGCTTATCGAGCCAGGCCGGCTCAGGCCGAGCCAAGAAGCGCGGAGGCTGAGCTGCGGCCGGCGGCGCGCCGAGAGACTGAGCTGCGGCCGGCTCAGGCCGAGCCAAGAAGCGCGGAGGCTGAGCTGCGGCCGGCGGCGCGCCGAGAGACTGAGCTGCGGCCGGCGGCTGGGCGCCGAGAGACAGGGAGCGGGTGCCTGCGGCCTTGGGAGCCGGGAGCAGCAGGTCTCGCGCAGCCGCGGAGCCGCCTGGTCGGAGGAGGGCGGCGGCGGCCGAGAGGACAAAGGCGATGACTGCGCACATGAAGAGGATGTTGTAGTTGTGCAGCTCGTCCTCTTCCGCGCCGATGCCTCGCGCTGCGGCATCGGTCGAGTTGAGCGACGGCGGGGCTGGGTTCGGCGGCGGCGGCGGAGGAGGAGCAGGGAACGGCGGAGGCGGAGAGATGCAGTACGACAGCGCAACCTGCAAGCCGCGGTACCAGCAATGGACTTGAGCGGGCGGCCCGGGCGGCGATGGCGGCGGCGGCGAGGGCGGCGGATGGGGAGCCGTCTCTGCGAGGATCTCCCGCATCCACGCCGGCAACGGAGGAGGGAGAGGCGGCGAGGGCGGCAGGTCTTCGTAAGTCGCGTCGCTCCAAAGGAAGTCGAATTGAGCCGAGGCTCCCAGCAGCAAGCAGGAGGCGACGACGGAGAGCCGCATGTGCGGGAGCACTCGCGGGAGCACTCGCGGGAGCACTCGCGGGCGTCGCAGCTTTTCGCACTGCAAAGAGGCGGCTGTCCCGGGCGTTTTTGTGAAGAATTTTGCGACCCGCCCTCGCACGGGACGGGCGCAGAAGAATTTTGCCAACGCCCTCGCACGACACTGGGCACGGGACTGGCGGCGTGCCGTCCTCCCATCCCTCCCTTGGGCGGTCTGTTTTCTTTATTTTCTTTCTGGGCACGGGACTGGCGCGCACTGGCACTAACACAGACACACCAGAAGAAGAATACACAAGCAGAACAACCCTTTTCCTGGCTTGCTGTATGTAAAATCCTGCTCGTGCAGGTGGGGACCTTGTCCTGCTCCCATCCGTCGCTCGTTTCGGTATCTGTTTTCTTTCTTTCTGGCTTGCTGTGCCCCTGATCGTCCTTCCAAAATCCTGCTCGTGCAGGTGGGACCCTGTCCTCCTCCCCCATCCCTCGTTTGGACTGTCTACTTCTTTCTTTCTTTCTGGCTCACAAGGTCACAAGCTAAAGATGTGGGCCCTCACACGGAGTCTCCGCATGGGGCATGGGGAGCCCCGGGTACTCTTCATCTCTCCACCCCTACAGGAGAGGTGGACCCTGTCTATATCCGTGTTGCGATGCGCTCCCCGCTCCCGTTCCCGTTCCCCCCTGTGTCCCTGATCGTCCTCACAAGATCGTCCTGCTCTCGACTGCTCGTGCAGGCGGGGACCCTGACTGAGGGCCCAACAGCAGAATCGTGCTTTTTTGGGGGTTAGGCAAGGGTTTAGGGACGAAGCTCGAAGGGACAAAGTTCTATTCTTTTTTGGACGGCGTGTGGAATTCTTTTTTGCGGGGACATGATGAAGTTCTGCAAAATCCCCTGGCCGGCCCCGCTCCCACCCACCCATCCTATACCTACCAATTGATTGCTGAAGAATCTCAAAACGCAAAACGGCCCCAGCTCACTTTGGAGCTCAGTCAGAGAGTGCAACGTGCTGCCGCGCTCCTTGCACACGGCTACCAACTCGGGCGGCCTGCCTCAAGGGTCAGGCCAGCTTGATGTGGCGCTCCGCGCACACGGCCTTCAGCTCGTATGGCTCGCTGCCCACTAAGAGGTACTGCGCGAGGGGAGGTGCGATGAGCATTTGGCGGGGAGGGCATGTGGCGATGTGGGGCGTCTCGTGCCTTCAAGCTCGGGGCGGCCCCATCCTTGAGGGAGGCGGCCAGCGCCTTGCAGCCCTCGTCCCCAATCTGGTTGCCGTTGAGAGCGAGCATCTCGAGCCGCGGCGCTGCCCCCTCCTTGCCGAGGGCGGCAGCCAGCGCCTTGCAGCCCTCATCGCCAATCTTGTTGTTGCCGAGATTGAGCGTCTCGAGCCGCGGCGCTGCCCCGCTCGCGAGGACCTCCGCCACCTGCGCCGCATCCGCATCCCCCCAGCCGGTCTGCAGGTACGACAGCTGAGTCGCCTTGCCAAACTGCTCCTCGAAGGTGGCCTCGTACATCCGCTTCACGAGCGGCTTGTCGTCCTTGCCGTTGGTGAAAGTCTTTGTCTCCAGCTCGGCCGCAAACTGGGTCGGCAGGAGAGGAGGGCAGTGGCCACCGCCCTTGGTGCACTCCTCGATGAGCTCTTCATAGGTGTACTCCTTGTCCTCACGCAACCGGCCGATGTCGAGCGACAAAGCAACGCTCTTGGTCAGGCTCGCCAAGCAATTTTCGGTGTAGCACCAGCCGCGGTCGAAGTAGCTCACGTTGGTGCCCGGCACCCACCAAGAGCGCAACCACGCGTTTAGCTTGTGGCCCGCCGGGAAGGAGGTCAGCCGCAGCACAATCGTGTGCCGGTGGGAGTAGAGCGTGCCGAGGCAGCCCAGCCCCTGCTTGAAGAGCGCGTTCTCCGCCTCGGTGCGCATGACGCCATTAACGGGGTCAGGGTGCTGGTGCAGCGACATGTAGTCCCAAAAGACGCCGACTTCCTCGTCCATGGCCTTGAGCGCCTGAGCGACGCGGCGTAGGTTTTTGCCCTCCTGGTCGGGATGGTCCTTGGTCAGCCACGGGTAGCTGATCGCCGCGATAGGTAGCCCGAACTCACTCTCGGTCCCCTTGACGAGGTCGGTAAACGTGATAAAGGCATCCTTGGGCAGCGCCTGGCGGTGTGTCAAGACGCCGCCCGCCTCGGCGTAATTGATTATCCACCGCGAATCGACAAGGGCGATGGCGCCGCTTGCGAGGACTGGCTCCAGGTCGCCGCCGCCGAGCTTGCGCCACAGCGCCAGTTTCTCCTCGTATGTCAGTCCCGGTTTGCTCGCCGTGCAGCCCATGCACACTCGCCGCTCGGTGGCAAAAGGAGCGACGCTGTTTGCTTGAGCAGATGAACGTACGAGTGTGTCACGTCATTTTGTTTTCTGTTTTCTCCTTTCTCTTGACCTTTTTTCACGTTCCCCTCAACACCATTCGCCACAGCTCCCAGCTCGGTGTCGTGCTCCGCACGTTCCCCTCAACAAACCATCAGCTTTTGGGACTCCTCGCGCTTTGTTGGCGGTGACGAGGTGCGCCCCTCGCGCTCGCCGCCGGCATTCGCGAGCTTCGTGAGACGCACCCGGCCCTCGCAGGTGTCCGTCCGTCAACTTGAGGCCCGCCGCCGCCAGCCATCCCAAGCTAGTCCCCAACAGACGCAGCACTGCCAATCGACCGCCTCCGCCTCCGCCGCCTCCGCCGCCGCCGCCGCCGCCGCCACGGCCTCGCCGGGCGGTGCGGCCGCAGCTGCAGCTATGGCAGCAGCCGCAACAGAGGCAGCAGCAGCGGCAGAAGCAGCGGCAGCAGCAGCAGCAGCCGCCATCGCCGTCGCGCGGTCGCTCAGCATCTCGAACGAATCCCCACGATGAGCAGCGAGGCGAGGAATATCTCCTCGCTGCCGATCGTCGGGCCGATAAACTGCATCTTGAACATCTCCAATAACACGAGCGTAGCGGGAAGAAAGTGGTAGCTCACAGCTCGCTGTAGATGTCCTGGCGCTCTTCGGTTCGTCCTGATCTGATCCAACCGCGACTTCCGCCGCTTCCGCGAGCTCGGCGAGCTCTTCGAGCTCGTCTGCCCACCGCTCCAGCGCCGCACCCTCCGCAAAAGCCTCTGCATGGCTTTTGCCGGAGCAGCCGCCACCTGAAGCGGCTGCCTCTGCGGCGCTGGCGAGAGCCCGCTGCACAGCCTCACGGAGCGCTGCTGCAGCGCCATCCTCCTCCTCCACCACCACCTCCACCACCGCATCGGCACCACCGAGATGCTCTGCGGCGAGAGCGACAGTGTTGGCTTCATGCAGTGAAGCGTAAGCGTGCAGCACCGTCTGCTCGTCCGCCGGCAGTCGCTGCCGGCCGCCTGCGCCGACGCTGTTGACGACGCTGGCAGCGCCGCTGTTGCCGCCGGTCGCAGTACCGTCGTCAGCGGCGGCGCCGCCGCCGCCACCAGGTGGGCGAGCAGAGTCGGCAGGCATGCACCTGCCGACGCCGGTTTCCGCCCATTCTCCGTTCACACCCCTTTGCAGAATAGAGGGAATGAACAAAAAAAACGTCGGGCCAAGCAGCGTTTCCGTTTTTTATCCGCGCTGTTGAGCGTTTCAAGTTCTTCTAAAACGTTTTTTTAGCCGAGGCGTTTTTTTCCTGGTTTCAAATTCTTCTTTCTGGCGGCCCTTTCCGATGAGCGATGTGTGCTAGTCTGCGTCAGTCCACAAATGTCGAAACGACGAGGTTTTCTTCTTTGGTGTGCCGGTGATAGTACTAGCACGCGCCAGTTCGCACCTGTGTCGAGCCTGTGTGCTGTGCTACCCAACGAGGGCGCGAGATAGGATTTTCGCGTCAGTGGCGGCCAAGACAGAAACAGCGTGCTACTGTCTTGAGTGCTGGAGGCGCCCCTGATGCCACTGGTCTCAATCCGAGCCGGCGGCGCCTTCGTCCGGGCCCACGGCCGGCACGCCGTCAAATTTTCTCGCCGATCCCGCGCGCTCGGCCGCCACCGCGGCGCCTCCGAGAGCGCCGTTTCGACACGCTGCAGCCGCGGGCCGCGGCACCTCGACACACCGCCTCTCGCGCCGCCTTGAGGTGCTCCGATCGTGCACGCGGGTCGGCTCGGCACGGTGCGTGCAAATTATTGCATGTATTCGCACTCGCTGCGCCACGTATCTGCCTCTGACGGCCCGATACGCCACCCGAAGCGCCACCGGTCCACACACGCGGGGCTGCGCGACTCTCTCGCGGCCCACCGCCCTCCCACACGCCGTTCGACCTCCACACAGGCGCTCGCTCGAGCCTCGCCGTCCGGGCGGTCCTGCGCGTCCAGATCTCGGCGACCATGACCCGCCACGCGCCAGCTCTGCACCTCTCCCGCGCGCGCCCGGCTGCTGGCATGGCGAGGCGGGCGAGGCTGGCGCGCTGCGACCGGTGGAGCGCCGCGCGGGCAGCGCACCAGCCTCGCACGCACCTCTCCACTGCCACAGGGAGGTTTCGTCAGTCTCGGCGTCGCATCTGCCGCGCCGAGATTCGACGGACCGAAGGGGTAGAGGCTAGCGCTCTCTGTCGAGAGAAGCGCAATACTCAAGACAACGATTACTACATCATGCACGACCTCGAGCGTGCAACGCCGCACAGTGCTCAGGGTTCGAGCAGGTGCAGGCGAGTGGAGGGGCCCCTGGCAGAGCCGCCAGCACTGCGGCTGTGTGGACACGAGTATCCCCTCTTGCTTCTCCTTACCGGTCCGTTCTCCTCGCCTACGGACCACCATCGCAGCTGCTGCCTCCGCTACCAGCTCTCGGGCTGCTGCAACGGCAGTTACCGCAAAGATCTCGCACCGAATGTGGACCCTGCCTTTCGCCGCCGCTACTTCCGACGTCGCCGCTCGACACGACCGGAGCTGTACGCGATGAACACGCGACGATCGACACGCCCTCTCTGCCTTGTGTGGCGATTATCACGTCGTGGGGGAGTGTTGGGCATCTGTTCGACGTGGCAATGCCACTCTACCTCATTGCTGTCTCTTCCTCGTCTCGCCTCCTCGCGCTAGCCCGTCCCGCTGTCCAACGCCTCTGGCAAGAAGTCCAATGCGCCTCTACGAGGATGGCATGCCTACGCTCAGACACATTCACACTCTGCTGTTGACTTGTTGTCTGCCGCATCCTCATTCATGAAGACTGCGGAGACAATGGGGGAGTGTTGGAGAGTGTGAACTCAAAACCTACTTCCTGACCGTAGCCTGACCGTCCTTGTGTAACCGTCTCATGTTTGGTTTGTCCTGCCGCGCACATTGTCATCGACTTGTATCCGACTTGGTGGCTGTGGTGATGTAGCAATGGTGTGGGTCTCTAGTGACCTATACAGCTCCTCCGTGTTCCGTCTCCTGACACCGTCAATCATCAGTACTCGCGTACCTTTCGCCAGCTCGGCGCCTGATCACGTCGCATCTCCCGTCGCCATCGCCTTCGCTGTGGCTCTCGCTGTGTCGTTCGATGCTAGGCACGTTCCCCTCAACACCTTTCGCCAGCTCCCAGCTCGGCCTCGTGCTCGGCTCGTTCCCCTCAACACCTTTCGCCAGCTCCCAGCTCGGCCTCGTGCTCGGCTCGTTCCCCTCAACACCTTTCGCCAGCTCCCAGCTCGGCCTCGTGCTCGGCTCGTTCCCCTCAACACATCAACTTTTGACACATTCCTCAACACTTTGACGCATTGAACACGACTTGCAAGCTGTGGCTTCGTGTGCTTCTACCTGGTGCTTCCCTCGCGCTCGCCGCCGGCATTCGCGAGCTTCGTGAGACGCACCCGGCCCTCGCAGGTGTCCGTCCGTCAACTTGAGGCCCGCCGCCGCCAGCCATCCCAAGCTAGTCCCCAACAGACGCAGCACTGCCAATCGACACAAACAAAGCCCGTCGCCCGCCCAGAATAGCCCCAATACACACCCCGGAGAAATGCGACAACGTCGCGGCTGCACCTTTGGCAAGCGTACTTGGGCGGTCTCCGCCGTCGGCTACATCGCCGGCCTCGTGCCAAGCCTGCCTCGCATGAGCATATGGCGAGTCATCGTCTTTCCCGTTCGCCATCCGCAAATTTGCTCGGAATGCTCGCTCGCGTCGATTCGATGCTCATCTGCCCGAGAGGGATGATCTACCCGGCGCGCGAGCGGAGAGGTGCCTCGCCCCCTGCCCTTCATCACCATCACCGCAAGCATCATCATGATGACTGTCCTCGTGCCGTCGTCAGCAAGTCAAGCATCACCATCGTCACCGTCTTCACCAGCATCCTCGCCCTCATCCTCGTCACCATCCTCATCACCATCACCATCCCCGTCCTCGTCAACATCCTCGTCAACATCATCACCATCTCCTTCATCGTCAACATCCTCCCCTTGATCGTCATGATGACGCAGGCCTCTGCGCGCTCGGACATCCCATCCATCCCTTGAGTGCTCGGGCAACCCCGCGCTGCTCATGAGGCGTTTAGGGGTGAAGATCCCGGGGCGAGCCGACAGGGACTTGGCTTCGAGCAGGCGCGCAGCTCGCGCACGCTCTCTGTGTACACCGTGGCCTGCCCAGAACCTTCCCGGAACTTCCCTGCAGGTGCCGCTTCGCCCCGGACGAGGCGATGGGATGGGCCCTCCTTCGGCCCCCTCCCCCCCCCCCCTCCCTTCCGCCCCTCGCCCCCCCCCCCACCTCTCTCCTGCCCGCCATCAGCCCCTCCACTCCCTCTTTGCACACCCCCAGCTCTCTCCCCCGTCTACCGCCCGACCCGTCGCAGCCCCTCACCCCCTCACCAGACACTGCACCTCCCCACCTCCGCGCAGCCGCCGGCGATGCTTGGCGAGGACGGCGAGGAGCGACTTGGGCGACCTGGCCGCGCAGCCTGCTTCGCGCGCAACACGAAGCAGGCGAGAATGTGATGTCGACGACTCTGTGCGCGGCAACTTTGGTCTCGGCTGCACGGTGCGCGGCTCGATCCTGGCCTTCAACCACACCCGCTCTCACTTCCCGAACTCTCCAAGCAAGCCCTCGCGATGAAACCGCGCCTATTTCTCCCCCCCCCCTTCTTACTTCGCCTGCAGGTCGCAGCAGGGCCGCAGCCGCCCTGGCTCTCGGCACCCCGAGTCCCTCCGTCCTCCCCCCCGTCGATTCCTCCCGCCTTCGTGACGCCCGATCCTCTCCACCGACTTCCTCGCTGCGGGATGTCGGCCGATGCGGTGCGTTTGCTCTGCCCACGCCCGTTCCCCCTTGCCCGCGAGGCCCGCGCCCCTTCCACGACTGGCGACACTCCCCCCACCCCCCTCTTGCCCCGCCCTCCCGCCGCCCGCCGCCCTACACCCTCCTCTTCGCGCACGCGCGCAGGTCCGCGACGCTTGTCCAGCATCCCACCGGCCCGTCCTCTTCGCCGCCATCGTCTTCTAAGCGGCGCTCATCGGGCTCTC